ACTATCAGGAAATCATAGAAATGTAAACTGTTATTAAGGGATCAAATTTTGAGGGGTACAATGTTACTTCAGGACCAGAGACTCAAGTCAGGTGCATATCCTGCTGACAATTTAAAATATAAAATGTAATTTATGGTTTAATATTTTCATTATCAGAGACTCCACACTAGGTGGCGCCCCGGGTCACGACTGAAGCAGTAAAAAGCAATTTAAACATTATATGGGCTTCCATGCTAGAAGCAGTTTCCCTCTGGATTCTGAGAAATAATATTGAGAGAAAGGGATCTGGACACAGTGGCACAAGCCTGGAGTGGCACAAGTCCTTGACCCATTGACTCAGGATGCTGAGGCAAGATGATTGCAAGTTCAAGGCCAGTCTGGGCACTTAGTGAGATCCTGTCTCAAAATAAAAATAAAAAGGGCTGGGGATATAGCTCAGTGGTAGAGTGCCCCTGGGTTTCACCCTCAGTACCACAGAAATGGGAGAGGATGGAGGTGAGGGTGGGGGCAGGGAGGAAGGAATGAGGTTGCATTAAGTGATGATCACACTCTTTGTTTAAGGGATGAGAAGTGGAAAGTGAAATCTACTACATTGGAAAGATGAAGGCTGAGAAATTTAAAAACTAAAACCACAGTATTAAGGTGAAAACACAGCCTTCTCTAGAATGAGAAGAACCCTGTGTTAAGAAATGTTAGGATAAAGAAGAAGGATTACTATACAAGGACAGATTATATAAGTGAACTTCACTTTTCATGGTTGGGAGGTTTTGAAATGAATTTAACAGATTCAACTAAGCTTAATGGATGATAGAGCCAGAAGAGACATCATCTCTCCTGTCTGTCAAACACAGAGGAGCCTCTGTCTAACCCAGTAGTGAACATGTTGTAGGCAGTATTACCTAACAAAGCTGGGAATCTGTACAACYCTGTAATATTTACATAATCTCACACGTTAAGCTTCAGGTCTTGATAGAAATTGACTTACGGATATCCTGAGATAGTTYGGAAGAACTAGAAAGGAGTATTTTATTCTCAGATGCAGGTATTACTAAAAGTGAGGAGTATCTCACAAAATGCTTGGCTGACATTCTAAGCTTGGCATTCTCCTGGTCCATGTTTGAGGCTTAGTCTTTCCCCTTTCCTGGCAACTTCAGCTAATATATGCATTTCCTTTATTTATGAAACATTTTTTTTTTTTTTTGTGGTGCTGGGAATCAAACCCAGGGCCTTGCACATGCTAGGCACTCTATCATTAAGCTATGTCCCCAGCCCAGATTTCTTTTTTTACTTTTTATAGTACTAGGGATTACACCTAGGGGCCCTTTACTAGGGAGCTGCATCCCCACCCCACCTTTTTTGAGTCAGGATCTAAGTTGCTGAGGCTGGCTTTGAATTTGTGATCCTCCTGCCTCAGTTCTTCAAGTTGCACCAGCCCAGATTTCTTGTTTAGGTAGAAAAAGGGGCACTTCACCACTGAGTCACATCTCCAACCCTTTTTGTTTTGAGACAAGGTCTTGCTAAGTTGCTTAGGTCCTTGCTAAATTGCTGAGRCTGGCTTCAAACTTGCTATCCTTTTGCCTTAGCCTCCCAAGTCTCTGGGATTACAGGCCTGAGCTACCATGTCTGGCTCCAGCTCAGATTTCTTAAACCCATAAAAATATGTGTATTTACATTTGTTCATGGCTTGGTTGCGAACTTTTTGTTTACCTTAATATTGATAAATATCCCACTGGATATATTCATCATGGTTTGTTCATCTATCCTCTTATTAAAAAACATCTTGCTTGCTTCCATTCTTGAGGTAATTATGAATAAAGGTGCTGTGAACATTTGCAAAAAAAAAAATGTGGATTTATTGTTGGGTGTCTGCCTTCCCACAGTTAACACTCATCCTTTGTGAATTCCATGTTGTATGGTTTAATCATTTAAAGAGACAGGCTGTGAAAGGGACAGGATAAATTGGCATAAAGTGAGTGGAAATAAATTTTGCTTTTTTTTTTTTCCACAGTAACTTTTCATGAAGCCTCAAGACATTGTGTTAAAAATCAGACATGAAAAATTTCACACAAGCTACATATCAAAACCAACAAAACTGTTAATAATGAAATAACACATCTCAGAACTTTGATAGAACTTGGCTTAGACTTTTACATTTTGTGGAGCTGTTAAAAAAAAATAGTAGGGACCAATACAGGCAGAGCTTCTAACGTTTTGCCAAGGAGACTTTTTGTATTGGTGGTGCTGGGGATTGAACTCAAGGCCCTGTGTGCAAGGCAAGCACTCTACCAACTGAGCTATAGCTCTAGCCCCACCAAGAAGATATTTAAAGCAAGTAACATTAATATCATTTCATTAAAGAAAGGAAACATAGGTACTATGAAAGTGGGGATAATCTCATATTAAAAGTTTGAGTTGACAACTTTCTTTTAGCAGTTTTTCCCTTCTATGGATAGCTGAAATTTTAATCTTGGCCTAGAATTTGGGGATAAGAGCCTAAATCAATACCATTTACTTTAACCAATTTTGCTTAAAAGGTTGAGGGGTGAGTGGCATAGCTTGAGGTCATTTTTTTTTTTAATTGGAGAAATCATAGCTTCTAACAACTAGTAGCATACACCATCCCTGAAATTCAATCACTATATATATTGTCAATTAATAAAGTTAGTCAATATTTACCACACCAAACACCTTCATAACAATTTTTTTTTTTTTTTTTTTTTTTTTGGTGCTGGGGATTGAACCCAGGGTCTTGTGCATGTAAGGCAAGCACTCTACCAACTGAGCTATATCCCCAGACCAAAAAATATCAAATCAGCTAATTCCACCTATTTAGTAGAACTGTTTAGTATACTTGGTGGTACTTGTCATAATTTATCAAGAAAAATAACCCTGAATAAGAATTGCTATAATTATATAATCTATGTCATAAATTACATAATCCAAACTATGAGCTACTAATTCTCTAAAATGCTTCATTCTCCATTATATGGTCCTTAGTCTAATAAATGTCTGTTGCAAGAATAGATGTCCATCAAGATCACTGCAAAACAAGATTAAATGAACTAGTTCAAAAGCCTGTGATAAAATTTTAACAGGACTTGGAAACTTCATTTACCTAATTATCTTGAATTATCAAAATGTTCAATATTTGTATTTCATAGTAAGGTAGGTCATCTCCAATTTCATCACATACATATATACACTTAAAGTTCTGAAACTGTTACTAGCCCCAACTATAAAAAAGCATAATAGTTTTAAATTCAAAATGAAGAATATATTTATTCCATTAAAAGGATGTCCCTTTATCAGAAACTGAGTGTCATGGAATTTTCTTTAAAACAATTACCTTTTTAAAAGCATGATGATCTCTTTTGCTGATCCATTCATACTTATTTTTAAAAGGAGCATGGAAAAAATTTACCCAAAGAATCTGAATCAGGGTAGATTTTAGATTTTGCTTGGGAGATATGTCCTGAAGACATGTCCAGGTCAGTCACAGAGGCAAATGCACATAATTATGACATCAACCTTTATGTACTGTAGTACGTTAAATTATACATTTTAAAAATGTTAGTAATCAGAGGCTGGGGACTTAGTTCAGTGGTAGAATGCTTGCATGCCTCGCATGTACAAAGCCTTGGGTTCTACCCCCAGCATCATCAAAAACAACCTCCTACCCCAAACCTAACCCTTAGGAGTGCTGTCTGGTTTCATTGATTCCTGTGACTTCTAAGGTACCTGAATTTTAGCACACAGAAACTTGTGATTGATAGTTAACTGCGAATTCAAATGTACAAATGATTGTTTGACCATTTCAAATTGTGTGCCCCAAATTGTGTCATGACTTTCCCTTCTAACCTATAAGATCCCCAAATCAAAGCCACACATACACAGCCTAGATTTTATATATGTCCAAGTGTAGTGGTGCTGTCTATAATCCCAGTGACTTGGGAGGCTAAGGTAAGAGGATTTCACATTTGAAGGCAGCCTAGGCAATTTAGTGAGACCATCTCAAACAAAAAGGGGCTGGGGATGTGATTACCAGCAAGGTGCCCCTGGGTGTAATCCCCAGTGCCAAGGGGAAAAAAAAATACACACATAAAAAGCTATTTCTTAATTCTTCCATTGCTTCTAGTGTGTGTGTGTGTGTATACACAGTGAATGAAATTGGCAATGAATGAAATACTACTTTTKGTCTGAGTCTTTTTTTAAAAAATTTTTTTTTAAGTTGCAGATGGACACAATACCTTTTATTTATTTATTTTTATGGGGTGCTGAGGATTGAATCTAGTGCCTCACACGTGCAAGCTCTGTACCACTGACCTACAATCCCAGCCCTTATCTGAGTCTTGAAGAATATTACATAAACACTTTGTCTTCAAATCTTTGAATAAAGATCATACAATTTAAGAGGATAAATTTCTTTTTTCTTTCCCAAGTAGTATCTTTACTAATATAAACCATGTGTTTGATTATCCAGAGTGAGGAATAAAAAATTTTCCCACACCTTTGATCTAGTCTTGTGACTACTATTTCTGTCACAGATGTTTGGCTTTGTGATTAAGAGACTTGAAATGTGTGCTTCAGTTTCTTCCATGTCTTTAGTTCCAGTGCTTGCCACTCCTTGGCCTAGAATTCTGGAGCATTACATTTTTTTTTTTTTTTTAAGAGAGAGTGAGAGAGGAGAGAGAGAGAGAGAGAGAGAGAGAGAGAGAGAGAG